TGAGAAAAAACTGGAGATGTTCTCAGGCATAAAATGCAAGGGAAGGCAGATGTTGAGAAGTGGGAGGTGGCCGATCTCTCAGAAAAGCCCAGTGCTCACGGTCCTGGGAGACATCTGCTGTGACAAAAGGGCTGCTGCCCCAGGCAGAGAGATTGAGTAAGGACTCTGGGAAGAGCAGAGCGTCTCTTTTGGGGAGAAAAAACTAAGGGAGGGAGGTGGTTAATCTTCTGTATGGCGGAGGCCAATAAGCTCTTCAAGAAATTTCTGTGGTTTGCACCCCGTAGTTCTACATGCTGAAATAAATGGTAACAGATATCTCAGAAAGCAGACTTGGATGTTACCTGGCAGCTTGGGAGAAAGGAATGAGGAAGAGGTACAAGCTGCTTTGTACAGGGACATCCAGTGTTGTTGGTTTCCTTCCCCCACTCAGCCTTGGAAACAGCTTTAGGTACCAGGTGAACCTGCCGATGATGTGGGCGTAGCCAGGATTTTTGTTAGGGGGGGGGCAGAACCTCAGATATGTGTTGATTTGTATTGATGTAGGGACACGGGTGGCGCTGTGGGTTAAACCACAGAGCCCAGGACTTGCCAATCAGAAGGTCGGCGGTATGAATCCCCGTGACGGGGTGAGCTCCCGTTGCTCGGTCCCTGCTCCTGCCAACCTAGCAGTTTGAAAGCACGTCAAAGTGCAAGTAGATAAATAGGGACCGCTCCAGCAGGAAGGTAAACGGCGTTTCCGTGCGCTGCTCTGGTTCGCCAGAAGTGGCTTAGTCATGCTGGCCACATGACCTGGAAGCTGTATGCCGGCTCCCTCGGCCAATAAAGCGAGATGAGCGCCGCAATCCCAGAGTCAGCCACAACTGGACCTAATGGTCAGGAGTCCCTTTACCTTTAGATTTATTTAGGGGAGAAGTTGCCCCACCCTGGCTATGCCCGTGGCCCATGAGACTTGGCAAAGCAGTTGCCTCAGGGCAGCAAGATCAGGAAAGCTAGGAAGGGCAGCAGATCTGGGCCCATGAGGTATGTGCCACTCACCCCCCTTCCCCCCTCCCTTTACCTCCCATTTTTCTTGGTGTTGTCATAGGCAACAGGGGTGGAGTGGAGTCACTGGCAGAGATTGCATTTTCTATTTTGCCTCAAGCAAACAACAGCATGGGCTGGCCCTGTTGGGTACTATGCACAGGTCATACAATACATCCATTTCTCTGCTTATTTTGAAGATTTATACCCAGGGCTGAGTTCTGGCACCCTTTAGGCACTTTATGGCACCTCTGTAGCATTGCCTATTTTTAAAAAAGCTCACCAACTTTGGTTGGTTGCCCCCCCCCCAAAAAAAAAATCAAGTTCCAGTATTGTTATGTACTGAAGTTCTCACCCTGGGCCAGCAGGGGGATACTGTAGATAGTTATGCAAATAAGGTATCAAAAGTGACGTTCAGTGATTGGATAGTTTTAGAAAATTGTTACAGTTACGTTGTACTGGAGCTCTATATAAGCAGGCTGACTGAACCCTTCAGTTCAGTTCTGTTCTGGCCTGTGAATAAACAAGAGGTGTTTGAAGAATCGCTGTGTCGTCTGATATGTTCACCCACATCATAACAAGTATCTCTCTTTTTTTATAGAAAAAAACCCTGCTTATACCTCACCTTTCAATCAGCACAATCAATTTCAAATCAAATACAAATTGTAATGATTTTTACAAAGAAAGCTGATCTCTCTCTCTTCCCCTCGGTCAGCAGCCCTTAATTCTCTGACAGGTAAATGGTGCCAGCTCTGGCTTCCCTTTGGTTCTGCAACCCCAGATCACAAACGAGAGGCTTCTGATTTGTAGTGCTATTGCCCTACACATGGTTCCCGGTTGCAGTTCCCCCAGGAAGCAAGAAACAGTTGCCCTGTTGCATCTTGATCCTTGGATTATCACGTGTCTACCCACGCTGCTTTCTCCAGAAGCTTAAAACTTACTTGATTAATCAACTTAGGTTTGTTTAATTGGGTGACAATCCTGCCCCACAAAAGAATAAAAGAAAATATTTTAAAAACCGGTTATAGATTCAGATTCTATCAGAACTGTCTCTGGGTAAATATTTTCAGGACGTGGGGTTTGTGGCACACTAAAGATCAGGTGGGTCAGTGGGTCATCCGGGGAACAACTGAGCTAACACTCTGCACCAGCCCCGGACAATGAGGCCTTTGAAATGGACCAGTTTTCTCCTGGATGTGTGCCTAGAAAAGGCATCCATTCTCTTTCTGCAGCCCTCGTTATATTGCAGCAACAGCTAAAAAGTGTTGACGGAAAGCTTCAAAGCTGCGCTCTGTGACATTGTTAGCAGAGTGTGGGAAACGACCGACCCCTTTAAGCTACGAGTTGCGATTTCTCCCTGTGAAAACTCTGCACAGCAGCAGCAGCAGAAGAAGCCAGCACAGCAGAAGACTCTGTTTAAGCAGAGAATGCATGTTGAACAGGAGTAAAAAATGACATTACTACTGTTTGTGGAAATGCTGATAAGGACGGTTGTGTGGAAGGAAGAGAGGAAGTGGTTAGGCAAGTTTGCATTTTTAGTTTTCTACGGAAGGAACAAAAGGATCTCTGTGTTGCAGAATTAAGCTCTTTTCCTGGCAATTTAGACACTCTACAAAGAGAAGGCTACTCCTGTGTAATGTTCATGAAAACTACTGCAACTTCTGCCATGGCTGTCTTGAGCCTTCCTCTGGATTGGGACCCCAGAGTGTAAACCTATTGGATCCCCCACACTTTCCCTTTCCCTGGTGCTATGGTGTGTGGCAGGCTGGATCCCAGGAGAGCCACTGCCAGTCAGTGTTGACACTATTAAGCTAGACTCAGTCTAAGGAAGCTTCCTGGGTTCCCTGCTTCTTCAAGGGGGAAGGCTGTAGCTCACTGGATGTATGGGATACTGGAAAACTCCAATGGAAACAGAAACAGGAGCAGAAACGGCCGACACTCACTTATTCTGTAACAGAAAATGATCCAGTGAATACAATCGGTATTCGGTGTTCTGCTTTCTACCTGCAAACAAAACGTAACTGAGTACGTCCCCCCCCCATTCGCATTAGGTTTCCTTTGCACTGAAATAAATGGGGTGGAATAATGTAATGAAAATGTAACATGTAATTAATTATCTAGATTACGTAAACTAGGTAGTTTTGCCACAGTGGACAGCAGGATAAACAACATGGTTTTTGGCAGAAAGTGAACTGCAGTGGAACAGAAGCAGTGTTGTATGCGATGAGCATAGGGGCTAATGGAAGATGGTGCCTTCTTCCATCTCTGGTGGAAGAGCAACTGTTTTGCATGCAGAAGGCCCCGGGTTCAATCCGCAGCATCTCCAGGTATCCATGGCATCTCTGCCTGCAACTTTGGAGAGCCACTATGTGTCATGTTGGCAGGCAATAATCAGCTAGATGGATCAAAGGGTTGACTTGGGGTAAGGCATCTTCCTCTGATTCTAGGAACTTTGGACAGAGCCAGGAGAGTTCTTGTGATGTTCTTAGGTCCTGTCTCTGGACCACGCAGGCCCTGAAACCACAAAGAAGGGACCTGGGACAGCCGCCTCCAGGTTCTGCCTCAAAGACACAAGGTGTTTGCTTCATTGTATGCACACACACAGAGCTTTCTTTTTAATTCTCCAAGGCTTTTCAACCAAATTTGAAGCTTTGGCTTTTCAGTTTTGCGCGAGTTTAATTTTATTGCTTACTCTCTGCTGTGATGCTATTATTATTATTATTATTATTATTATTATTATTATTATTATTATTTTACTGCAGTAGTGTTTCAGTGTTCATTTTGCAGGAGAGTTTCACTTATAAGGTGCTGTTGTTAAGCAGATAAATAGGTACTCATTCTCTAATTTTCAAGAGAAGCCCGGATTTCACAATGCATCTTAGAATGCAATTAAAATAATATAATTTTAAAAGCAATAAACATTTTCTAATACTGTGAAAACATTTATTCTATCCCCTCTTCAGTTTAATTTAGGACAGTCCCTCCCAACCTGGGGCCCTCCAGGTGTTTGCAACTACAACTCCCATCAGCTTCAGTCAGGTTGACCATATGATGCTGAGGCTGATGGGAGTTGTAGTCCCAAATACCTGGAGGGGCCCAGGATGGGGAAAGCTGCTTCAGAATCTCCCCAGGGCCAAGTTGTCCAATGGGGAGCCTCTCAAAAGCTGCAGCCAGCCAGCCAACTCTCGCTGGTTCTCATGAGGAAATGGGAGGTTGATGGGAAATAATTTATGACTTTCGACATGTGGAGGGAAGTTCATTTAAGAAGCAAGGAGACAGTTGGAAATTGGGGGACATTTGCATTTTAATCTGAGGATTTCCATGTACCACCAATTAGAGACAAAAGATACATAAGAAATTCTGATGAATGACGCAGGCAGCTCGGTAGCCTTCTCATTACATTGGCATCTGAAGTGGAACCAATGCCATTTATTAATAATTTAATTAAAATGGCAACACATTATTTTTTTCCTGTACTATACAGAACTGTAAACATTAATTTGATATGGTTGAGGATCATGAAATGCAATCTTAATTACTTAGAAACTAGGATAGCCAGTTGAACTGAATCAGGCAGGCAATTATCTTGAGTTCCCCCCCCTTTCTTCTCCTTCTCAAAACGAGCATCCATCCATCTTAAAGAGCGGAGATAAATAACAAACTGAAAAAATGAAGAATATTCTGGAGAACTCTTTGTATAAACAAACCACCCTCCTCCCCAAACTGATCGAACAGTTCTATGACGCTGTTAAGGAAATCTCTAAAAATGAGATGTTTTGGTGCCCAAGGCACAAAATGGCTCACATACAACCACACTCAGCATCAGGTGCAATCATTCAAGAGGTTCTTCTATGTATGCTCCATTGAAGTGAATGGGGAGTGGTCTACAACTGCACCACAGTGCTCACAGAATCATAGAATGGTACAATGAAGGAATCTCAGCTAAAGCATCCATGACAGGTGGACATCCAACCTCTGTTTAAAAACCTCCAAGGAAGGAGAGTCCATAACGTCCTGAGAGGGACTGTTCCACTGTCAAACAGCTCTGTCAGCTCCTGCTCTTTGCAATGGGATACCTGGAGAACAAGCCCCACATTCTGGACGGTGGAGAAGGCTCTGAAAAAAGGTAGGACAGGAGCTCAATTCCAGTTGTTGTTTTTTTGAAGAAGAAGGTGGCGCATAGATTTGTCGCATGTTTCATAAGAACAGGATAAGAACACACAAAATGCACTGAATTTAATTGCCACATTTCTAGGGTTGAGCCTTTGAATTAAAAATAGCTGCTTCCTGTGTGCCCATTTCATGAGCCATCATCACAGCATGAGCTGGACGCTACACCCGCTTGCAACAACAGAGATAAAGTGGCTTTGTGGAATATGAGGTCATCGCTGGGAATAAAAGAGAACTACAATCAGCAGCCCCTGATGCCTTTGGCTATTCAGCCTAACGGGGTTCATGGGCAGCGCATGACGCAATGGTAAGAGACGAGCCATTGCTCCACCCACATTTGCCTCTGGCCCTGCCCACCATTTGCATGTGGCTCCTAGAAGGTCCCCCACGGGGAAATGGGGTCCTTGAACTGAAAAATATTCCCAGGCCTGTGGGGAAGGAACTGAATTTGATAAGGCTGGCAATGCCATATTTGTTAAGGCTGGTGACTCGGTATAAGGCAGCTCACTTCGATCCTAAATACCACTCACAAAAAGGCCAAAAAAGGGGACAATGACTTCCTAGAGCAGGGGTCACCAAACTTTTTCAGCAGGGGCCGGTCCACTGTCCCTCAGACCTTGTGGGGGGCCGACTATATTTTTTTTGGGTGGGGGTGGGGAATGAATGAATTTCTATGCACCACAAATAACCCAGAGATGCATTTTAAATAAAAGCACAGATTCTACTCATGTAAAAATACCAGGCAGGCCCCACAAATAATGCAGAGATACATTTTAAATAAAAGGATGCATTCTACTCATGTAAAAACATGCTGATTCCTGGACTATCTGTGGGCTGGATTTAGAAGGCGATTGGGCCAGATCCGGCCCCTGGGCCTTAGTTTGCCTACCCACGTCCTAGAACAGCCTTTCTCAACCTGTGGGTCCCCAGATGTTGTTGAACTACAACTCCCATCACCCCTAGCTAGCAAGGCCAGAGCTCAGGGATGATGGGAGTTGTAGTCCAACAACATCTGGGGGTCCACAGGTTAAGAACTGCTGTCCTAGAGTGAGCTGAACAGGAACAGCTGGAGCAAGTGACTTCCATGGATGGAAGGTGGGGGTGAGCTCAGCCGGGGCACCCTGGGCCAGCTGCCCATTTGAGCCAATGGCCAAGCATACTGGGACAAGCAGGAGGAGCCTGAAGGGCCCAGGTGGGCCCAGCACAGCAGCAGTATTTGTGCAAATGTTTGCCCCCCCCGCAATTCTTACATCTGTTATTGCCGAATCTGCAAACTCATCCTCTGTGTTCGCTTGATAGTTAGCGACAGCAGCCAATTTCTCCCAAATCCGTTTTCGAGGGATTTCAGATGCTTCCTGTTGATGAGGGAAGAAGAGAAGGAAATAAGATCCAAAGAGATGCAGCATGTGTCATTGCGGGAGACAAACACGAGAGCGACCATGGGAAAGTGGCTGTAGGTCCATGGCAGAGCACCTGTGTTGCATGCAGAAGGTCACAGGTTCACTCAGAAGAGCTGCTGCCAGTCAGTGTCAACAGTATTGAGATAGATGAGCCAAGTTCATCTTCCTACTGTCCACAGTGGGGAGGGCAGCCATTTCCCCTCTAACCGGAGGGTCCTGGTTCTGGAGGCTTCCACTTTCCTAAGAAACACAAAACTTCCCCCTCTTCCTTTTCCAAGGCTCTGAGTAGCTTGTCTCCTGCACTCTGCGGTCAACTCAGTCTCCATTCAGCCTTCCTCCTTTTTCTACCCTGGCCAGGCTGGGTTGGGCAATTATTTCAGTGCGACTCCAAATAGCCACAGATCAAATCTGAAAATGGCATTGGAGATGGCTAGGCTAGAGAACCTGTAACTGATGGCTCCCTCGCGAAAAACATCTATGCAGGGTCTAGCTCTATACTCCTGCAACTGTGTCGTTAGCCCATCCCCACGGCCCCAATCCTATTCAGGGCCAACCCACCTGAACAAGCAACCCAAGCAATGTGTTTAGTTGCCAGTGGAAGCAGCTACTCCCAGGGTAATCAATGTGGAGCATTCCAGATGTTGTTGGTGTGCAATTCCCATCATCCCTGATCATGCTGGCTGGGGTTGATGGAAAATGGAGCCTAGCAGCATACGGAGGGCACCCACGCCAGTTACCCTGGTTTAATGTGAGGAGACGTCCAACAGCCTCTATTAACTGAGATTGCTAAATGGAACCTCCATGTTCAGTGGTATGCCAGGAAGTGACTTTTTGCGCTGCTTAGGGGCATAGAAAACTGCCTTACACCAGGTCAGATCCTTGGTCCGTCAAGCTCAGAATCATCTACACCAGGAACAGGGAGCCTCACAGCAGCTGTAGGTCTTCTCCAGCTCCCACTAGCCCCAGTCAGCATGGTCAGGGGGATGATGGGAGTTGGAGTCCAGCAGCATCCGGAAGGCCACTGGCTCCCTCTCCCTGATGAACACTGATTGGTAGTGCTTCAGGTGGGGTTTCAGATAGGAATTCTCCCAAGGTCTATCTGGAAATGCCAATAATAGAGCATGGGCCCTTCTGTACATAATGCTGAAAGGGAGGGATGTAGCCTAGTGGGAAAGTATCTGCTTTGCATGCAGAAAGATCCGGGTTCAATCCCCAGGTTGGGCATGGAGAGCTCTCTGTCTGAAATCCTGGAGAGCTGCTGCCAGTCAGTGTGGGAACTACTGAGCCAGATGGACCCAAAGGTCTGACTCAGTATACGGCACACTTCCTATGTCCTGCACCTGATACGGGTCCCTTTCCTATATTCTGCTTCTAAAGCTCCCAGAAGCATCTCTTTGCCTACTCTGGGAATTTGGGTGCTGGATTACCCTGGACTGTTTCTGTAAGGAAGTTCTGGTGTCCATATGTCTAAGGCCAGCCATCTTTCCCTCCCCCAGTGGACTCTGGGATAGCACCTTTCATGGGCCATGCAAGAATTGCTTCCTCCTTGCTCACCTGCCCAGTGATGCTATCTGCTTCTGGAGGGGTTGGCAGTGATAGGCACTATTAGATGTGGGGCAGGGCCTATCCGTCCAATGGCAGAATCCAGCCCTTGATGAATGGCCCAATTGCACCAGCTGCTTTGGACTGTGCTCATTAAGCTACAGTTTTGTTCTTTGGGTTTTTATTTTATTTAATGATCCTCTTGTCATTAGAAGGTTGGTTGTTCTCCTGGGTATTTAAACTGTTTTAACTACTTGTGTATATATCTCTGCTTTGTCAGCTATAATGGCAATTGTGGGGTGTGTGTGAGACTGATCCCTCTTAAATCTTTTTTTATAAAAATGCTGTAACTCTAGCTATAAAAATAAATTCAATAAGAGTTCGGTGTCGATTCTTTCTGTCCAGGAGAAAGGCAATTCTGGCTCCCTCTGTTCCTTATTTGTAATTCCTCAAACAGTGCAGACTCTAGATGGGACTGGATGGTGTGATCTGGGTGCTGCTTTCAGGGTACAGGGCTATATTCAGGCTGCCTCTGCACCTCTCAAGTGATTAAAGAGCCAGGGCCTAAGAATAAGGAGCTGAGAACGGCAACTGAGTTTCTGCCCTCCCTACAGGCCAGGCCTCCGATCTGCTGTTCTTTCAACTTCAGAGCGGCACCTGGCCTTGGAACTGGGCTAATCTTGCTGCGGTTTATTTCTGGGTACTTTTGCGCTGGTACACCGGAAGGTAGGGCAGGGAATGATTAACATCAAAATGAGGAGGGAAAGTCTCTTTTGTGCTCCCAGTTGCAGGCTGTCCAAAGTCAGCAGCAGCAGCAGTGCCATAGGCAGCAGCAGGGTAGAAAGGAAATTCACTCTTCCTTTCATCTGTTTGCACTTCTGGGCTCTGATCTCCAGGTGACAACCATTGCAAAAAGGGACAAGGACTGTTGCCGCCTTCATATCCTGCGTGTGGGCATCCCACAATGGGCATCTGATTGCCCACTGTGAGAACACGATGCTGAACTAGATGGGTCCCCTTTGGATTGATCCAGCTGCAGCCGGGCTCTTTTGATGTCCTTATGTCCCCACAAGTAGAGGGGGAGGGGAATATGCCTCCCATAGTAAGCTCAAGAGGTCTGAATTTCAGTAGGACACGAAGGCAGAAACTCTGAAGCATGGGCAGTGCCACACTATCTTCCATGGTTGCTAGATTTAGAAGCCCCTCTAAGAGGGGAGGGAGAATCAGGGCAGTTTCCTGATGTTGTCTGGAAGGCCTTTCTCCTCCTCCTCCTCCTCTGTATGCAGTACAAAGCAAACAAGGCTGACAAACACAGATGTACCTTTGACTTTTCAAACAGAGCCAGGGCTTGTTTGTAGTAATGGATGGCTGGACCAAAGTGGCCCTGGCAGAGGTGAGTCATGCCCAGCTGTTCACAGGCCTGCGCCTCACCATAGGAGTCACCTGGAGGAAGAAACACAGCCAAAAGTTGCAGGACAGGGGCCAGGAAGTCCAGGATGGAATGAGGAGGAGCGTAGGGTCAATGGCTTGTAGTTTCTTGCCTGGAATTGGGGACACTTTGATCTGCAACTAGCTCAGGTCTTTGGCTGGCATATGAGCTGAGCTACTTTTCAAAGTGAAACAGTGTCAATCTGCCCAGTTACAAGCGGGAATATACAAAACTACTCCTTTTTTAGTTTCACCTCCTTGCCAGGCGGCAGGCATTGTAGGTTTCTGGAGACATCAGTGCAAAAACAAGGTTTGCAGTGGTGAGTTGCTGGAAGTTCTTAATAGCCCATTGCTCCACATTTATTGTTGTTAGCCGCCCTGAGCCCGGCTTCGGCTGGGGAGGGCGGGATATAAATAAAATTTATTATTATTATTATTATTATTATTATTATTATTATTATTATTATTATTGAGGACTTTCAATTACCATTTGTATAAAACAGGTTTTATTGTTCCATTTGCATTTTGCAAGCAGAAATAAGGCAGCTGGCCCCAGAGGCCTTCAAGGGACAGTGAGAGTTCCTTCTTCCCCCCTGGCTGCGTAAATTCAGACGCATTTTGCACTCCAAAACATTCCTTCACTCACACTCCAAAATGTCTCAACAACACTAACAGCTGCATCTTATATACTTATAGAGAACTCATTGCCTGTGTGTGGATTCTTGTGTAGCCAAAGCAGCAGTACCCAAGCCAGAGAGGGAGGAGGAGATACTAGCAGGCATGGAACGAATGACAAGGTGTGCAGAAGTACAAAAAGGCTTTTGGGGCGCAGGGGACTAACAGCTCAATGAACAATACCCACAGAACAGGTCAATTGGGGGCCCAGGAGGATGGAAAACCAGGGAGAAGGCAAAATGGAATACTGCAGAGCATTCTGAAAACAGGCTAGATGGCATGCATGGAACACTGCAACATTTTGCCGTTGGTCCCACCTGCCTGTTCTGTCTCTCAAATTGCTTAGTATGAGCTCTCCTGGAGGTTAACGTGACTCTGTCCCAAACCCACTTGTAGTTCACGATCTTAGCCTGGAGCCTGCAGTGTCAGGGCAATGAAGGAAGCAGATCTCCGTTGTCAGCAAAGTTAACTCTTTATTCAAGGAAACGGACCTACAACTCAGCCTAGTGGTCCCAGCAACACTCTCCAGTAGGTCTTGCCCCTATGGAGCAGTGGTCAGGACTGCAGGTCCCTGCCAGCCATCCTCTCTAAGCCTCCTCCTCTCCTGGGTGTTTCCCAAGCAGCCTAAAACTGCGTCTGTGCACCTCTGCTCTCTGGTCTGCTCTTCTCATTACTCTGCGCATTCTTGGGAGACCTCAGAGTCTGAACTGCTCCCTTAAGCCTGTTGCCCCTTCAGCACTGGGCACCTCCTCCTAATCTTCTCTCTATGGGTCTCCCAGCTCCTAGTCTGGCCCTCTAACCACCACACCACCACTGGCTCTCTGCTTTGCATACAGAAGCTAATACAGTAGGATCAGTAGGTGTTCCTGGAGAGCCCCTGCCAATCAGAGTGGACCTGCCTTCCCCAACTGGGCACTCTGCACATGTTTTGGACCACAACTCCCATCACCCCTGACTCAGGCTGGGGCCAAGGGGAGTTATCATCCAGTCATTGGAGAGCACCTGGTTGGAGATGGCTGGAGTGGGTCATACTGGATCATAGGCACCAAAGAACTGACCTGATACAGTGGTACCTTGGGTTAAGAACTTAATTCGTTCTGGAGGTCCGTTCTTAACCTGAAACTGTTCTTAACCTGAGGTACCACTTTAGCTAATGGGGCCTCCCGCAGCTGCTGCGCCGCCGCACGATTTCTGTTCTCATCCTTAAGCAAAGTTCTTAACCCGAGGTACTATTTCTGGGTTAGCAGCGTCTGTAACCTGAAGCGTCTGTAACCCAAGGTACCACTGTATATAAGGTGGGCTTCACCACAGTCACTTACCTGCATCCACAAAAGCTTTCAGCGCCTCCTGGGAGTAAAATCCGGCCATGTCGTAGTTTTTCAGCTGGCCGTGAGCAGTGGCCAAATTGTAGTGGCATTGGGCCTGAGCAGACCTCTCTCCCAGTGCCCCTGGCAAAAAAAGAAAAAGAAAAAAGAAAAAAGATCCAGCACGGATGATGTCAGCAGCTTGGCAAATGGATCCAGCCCCTTCCCAGAACTCTAGAAACTTTCCCCCAAAAGGATATTGTTCTGAAAACATCCCTAGCAGGGGACATTTTAGCCTTATGCAATTCTGTAGGTGTGAGAGCGAATCTGCCACAGGGGCAGTGAAGGCTCCTGAGTCCTGCAGGCTTGGAATTCTGCATCAGAGTGACCCAAATCATGCTCCAATGAAAGCTACGGTCTGCAATCTGCATATATTATACAAATCACCATACCGTCTCTTATTTGACTGTTTTGCTGAGAATTGAGGCAAAGAGATCTACATGCTTCACTGGAAGCCTTATACAGCCATCTGCTCTGGCTCCTGACATTTCAGACAGGGTAAAGAAGCGGAAAGGGAACCAATTTACGGGGGGGGGGGGAGTGTTTCATGATTGAGGCTCATGGCTGATCCCCACTAACCTTTTGCCTCGCCGTTTCCAGACACAGGTCTGCACTTTAAAGCTCCATGTCTGAGTGCTCCTTTTTGCCCCAGAGCTTTCCCCACCAAAACCCACTCTTTAAAGCTGAAGTTGCAACAAGCAGCAAGTTTGCTTGCCCCCAATATTCTGAGGTAGACTGCCTCTGAACCTGAAGGTGCCATTTACCTGTTGTGGCTTACACAGGCACAGAGAGGGTGGAGAAGGGAGGAGGAGCTTTGGGTGGCTGGAAGTGGTTTAGTAGGGTGAAGCACCCTTGCAGTTTGGAGGGCAGCACTTGGTGGAGGAGGAGAATCTCAGGGAGCCAGTGGTGGAACTGAGTGCTGTCTTCCAGAGGCCTTGAAGAGTGTGGCTTGCCAGCCAGCGGAGGTGATCCAGGGCTAGGTGGGCTGTGGAATTAATTTAGCCTAAGGAGGCAGCCTGGCAGAAATAAGGACTTTTTTTTTGTCACTCAACCAGTGCTTGCTTTATGGCAGTGGTGGCCAAACTTGGCCCTCCAGCTGTTTTTGGACTACAACTCCGATCATCCCTAGCTAACAGGACTAGTGGTCAGGGATGATGGGAATTGTAGTCCCAAAACAGCTGGAGGGCCAAGTTTGGCCACCACTGCTTTTATGGCGTCTCCCAAGCTCCACCCCTTCCCGTCTCTCTCCTGCAAGAGGCAGCCATGAGAAACTGGTTCCCACCACGTGAGCTTAGAATCTGAAGCCCTCCTTGCAAATAGGACAGAATGGAAAGTGAAGAACATCCCCCCCCCTTTACCAAGGAGCCCTGGGTAGCCTCCCATGGCTCTTTCCAGCAGAAAGAGGCACAATGAGTGGTGTGGTGGTGGGACCAGGTACTTCCAGCTTCTAAGTCTTTCAAATCTCTCCAAAGCCGCTTAGCCAATGCATACCCCAGCCTAGAAACTCAGGGAGGACATGTTTTCAAACAGGGATTGTAACATTCTAGGTAAGAAGGAGTGGAAATGAATTGAACAAGCACAGCACCCCACAGATGAGACCAGTGACCCACAAGCTTTGTTAGCTGACAGACAGAGGCCCAACTGGCAAACAAAGCTGAGGAGAAATTAACAGACAATGACATGCAAAGATAGGTATGTGAACAAAATAAAGATTGCAATTAATTATTTGATGTGATCAAAACAACCAAATATTACAAAAGTTTGTATTAAGAAGTAGGTATTTTGTTTATCTTTAACAGTAATATGAATAGGGACAATAATTTAAGCTTTTTGTTTATGTCACATCATTCTCTATGTATTGGTACAGCAATGTGTTTTTCAGACCTGAATAATTTGGCTTAAAAAAACCTAGCCCAATGCAACTCACCGTACATGTCAGCTGCTTCGCTGTGGTACCGCAGGGCCCTTTCGAAGCACTCCAGGGCGTTGCAGGCAGCCCCCAGGTTCTGCAACAGGACAGCTTTCTTCCGCACTGAAAAGCCTTTCCCGCTGCAAAGGCGGAGAGCTGCTTCAAAGTGCTGCTCTGCCTGCTGGAAGCACCTCATTTCCGCATAGTGCAGCCCCAGGTGATTGTAGAGTTTGCCTGAGAGCCAAAGTGGTGGGAGAAAACCCACCATTAGCTGGAGCTTGGGATCTTTCCAACTGATCCAGCAGGACCTTGTAGGCATTGCACAGCTGAAGGGAGCAAGACTCAGAGGAAATGTGTTCCCCAAAGATTGGGTCTTTCACTGGGATGGAGCATCCCCCTCACCCCTAGACATAAAGGGCCCCTGGGTGTAGGAAAGGCTCAGAGGATGCCCCTCCCACTCAAGAAGTGGCAAAGCCCCAATCCCTACTTGAAACAGGCCATCTTCAGTTACCCTATTTTTCACTCCATAAGACGCACGTTTTCCCTCCTAAAAAGTAAGGGGAAATGTGTGTGTGTCTTATGGCGCGAATGCAGACGGGAGGCTCTGCTCAGCGCTCCCTTTAAAGAGCCGCATGGAGTGTGTGTGCGGCCCTTGGGGGCTTTTCCCTGAGGAGGGAGAAATGGCAGCATGTCAGTGATGGGCTGCCCTTCTCCCTCCTCGGGGAAAAGCCTGCAAGTGCTGCACCACACGCTCCACACGTTTTGTGAAAGGGAGCGCTGAGCAGAGCCTGGGATGCATACAGGCTCTGCTCAGCGCTCCCTTTAAAGAATTTTTTTTTTCAGGCATTCCCCTCTAAAAACTAGGTGCATCTTATGGAGCGAAAAATACAGCACTTAAAAGAACCTTCAGCTTCCTCTTCTTGCAGAAGTACTCTCAGCATTGTGGCATCAGTGTGAGTTCCAGCTATGACTGGAACATTAGGAGTCAACTCCTAGGGGCCAAGGCCCCTTCACACCCCAATAAAACATTTGAGAGGGCATGCCCCCCAAAAGTTGATGGGACATTGCATTCAAAAGGGGTGTGTGAGTTGCATCTTGTGAGGGGCTTACCTGGGCCACCCTAATATTTTATTCATGTTGGCACCCCTATTGGAGAATGAGAGGCAATTAGAGTAGCATCCTGCTAGGCCAGGCTTTCCCAACCAAGTGCCCTCCAAATGTTTTGGACCACAACTTCCATTTGCCCCCAGCCAGACCAGCTGGGGTCCAATCAGCCCTAGCTGTGCAGGCTGGGGTTGATGGGAGTTGTGGCCCAAAACATCTAGAGGGCATCAGGTTTGGGGAGTCAAGTCAAGATTTTCCTTGCAGTGCACAGGAAGAGACAGGAAGGGCCACTCCATCCTCTCTGCTGCAAGACCAGCTCCACCAGGACCTTCCTCTCCCTGTTCCCATTCAAGTTGGTCATTAGAAGAACTACCCCTCCTTCCCTCAACACAGCCAGGTATATAATATAACTGCAACTCAGGATAACACTTCATGCATCTGCAGAGGTGGGCTGTAATTCACAAAAGCTCATGCCATAATAAATTTGTTAGTTTTTAAGGTACCACAGGCTCTTTGTTGTTTTTGCTGCTAGAGACTAACCCAAAGGATACCCCTCTGGAAAATACGTAGCTTTTGTAATTGGTGCCAATTTGCCTGTTTTCCTCTCCCCCCCCCTTTCCCTTTGTGATGTTCCCATTGTAAACATGTGAACAGGGACAATCTTGCTTTTAATGATCATACGTAAGTTGCCCTTGGAGGCTTTCTAGCTGAAGAATGTGTTAGTACATCTGTCTCACACACACTGTCCCTGAGCATGAGATTTCTTCTTCCACTTCATCTTAATACTGGTCTATCAAAAAGCCTGTGTTTGGGAATCCCCATTCCTGCTGAGATCAAGGGTGGGAACTGGGTCCCAAAGGCAGAGTAGCTCATCTGGCTAGAGGGCACTCTGGCAGCCCCCTGAGATTTCTGGGGTGGCAGGATTTTTCCTTAAGGAGACCCAATGGGGACTACGGAGGTACTTAGCTATACCCAGCAGTTCCTGGTTCCTTATCTTGGTGCACAACCGGCTGCAGGCCTGCAAGCTCTCCAAGACGTCGTCTGGGGAGTACACTGGGCTTCGCAGGAAGTAATTTGCTGCCTCCCTCATAGCCATGGCTGTGTCTTCTGGGAGTTGCACTCTTTGGTAGGCCTGGCCGGCCAGGCGAAAAGACTGTGCAGCTGACTCCATGTCACCTGTGCTCACCAGGCAATAGGCCAGCTTGATCAGGGCATCGGCTGAGCTTTGTGTTTGATTTGTGTCGTATTCCTGGATGGCCTTTCCGTAGAACTCTGCGGCTTTTGCGTATTCTCTCATGTCGTCGTAAGCAGCGCCCACGTTGAAGGAGAGGTCGCCATCCTTCTCCTCAGCTCCAAGCTCTTTGGCCTTCAACAGGCACTTGAGGCCCTTCTGGGGCTTGCCGGTGGCAATGTAAGCCGCCCCGAGGTTGAAGAGACACTTGGCTTTGGAGCGAGGCTCTGGGAGGCTACCCGAGAGCATGTATGCCTTTTTGAAGGCAGCCAAAGCCTGGCTTTCCTCATTGCTGCTGAAAAAACATATACCAGCCTTCAACAGCCT